GGAACCTCCTTTTGCCAAGAGAACAGCTCTGAGTCTTCACCTATATTGCCTGAAGAGTTTAGAGAACATCTGACAAGAGATCGGAGACCATTCCTTCATCCAGAATCTCTCCAGACCCTTCAGATTCACAGCTCCATGTTGGTGCTTCTTCTCTTTAGTTCACCTCACTCAATTTCTACAGGGTTCAGGTCAGGGAACTGAGACGACCATGGCAGAAATCTAATTTTGTGCTCAGTGAGAGATTTTTGTGTTGATTTTGATGTTTGTTTTGGATCATTGTCCTTTGCAAAGTTTCATTCTTATTTTAGTTCAATCTGACCATAGAAGCCAGTCTCGTTCGAAGTTCCAATCATGTCTGACAACTGAATATGCTGGAGTTTGTTTTTGGATGAGTAAGATTTTTCTTGAAACCCTCCCGAACAACATGTGCTGATGTAGGCTTTCTGACCCCAAGACTCAACTAATCTCTGCGATTCTCCAGCTGTGATCCTTGGAGAGTCTTTGGCCACTCAAACTCTCCTCCTCACCATGCGTTAGGACGATATAGACACACATCTTCTTCCAGGCAGATTTGTAATATCTTTAGTTGATTGGAACTTCTTAATTATTGCCCTGATGGTGGAAATGGGGATTTTCAATGCTCTAGCTCTTTTCTTACAGCCACTTTCTATTTTGTGAAGCTCAACAATCTTGTTCTGCACATCAGAACTATATTCTTTGGTTTTACTCTTTGTGATGGATGATTAAGGGAATCTGGCCTTTGTGTCCCATTTATAATCCTGTGGAACAGGAAGTCATGGCTGGATAATTTTATGCTCCTGGTCACCCTGGTGTGTTAAAATTTTTTAAATATGAATGGGAATATACTTCAGAGATATTTTACTCATAAGAATTTCTAGGGGTACCAATAATTGTGGCCAACATGCATTGGAGAAAAACATTTATTTCATAATGTGAGTCCCCCCCCCCATTTCAACTGTTTTACTTCAATGATAGGTTAGACTTTTGTGAAGTTTTTTAATGAAAGATCAAATAGATAAATGATGCAGATTTATTTTCACAGCCACCTTTGCTCATATTTACCAGGGGTGCCAATATTAGTGGTTGGCACTGTAGATGTGCATACACCGTATATAAGGGCAGCTGATGGGTTGAATAATAATTTGCCATTATTTGTGGTAGGCAAATGGCTTTCTTACCATCTTCTTCCGTTTCTAGTATTTCAGTGAGAGTCTTCTGCCTCTTTTGAGCAGTTTTGACTGGTTTCTCCATAGATGAAGGTCCATCTGAGGGTACATGGACATATCAGACTGAATCGGTCTGCTTAATATCACTATTTGAGAAGAAACATGCTGCTCTTTGATGTTGAACTACACAAAAAAATAAACATGGACTAATTATGATATGTCTTTAGCCATGGTAACCAGTGAAATGTGTTTCTTTATGACAGATCTCTTTGAAGTAATATCTCCTGATTGAAAAGGAAAAAAAAAAAGATGAAATGTTGTGCAAATTCAATTACAACATCTTTGTTATACATGAAAGTCAGACCAAGACCTCCAACAAAAAATGTCTCTGTGCCTTTATTCACTTTAATTAGGCAATGTATCATTTTCCAAAAAGCTTTTGTTTGAAGGAGTCACACTTACTGCAGATCTCCTGTCCAAATTTCTGAAACTGTGTGCACAGCCGGTCAAAGATGCCCTTCTTTGCTCCAGATGAAGAAGCTAATTTCCTGTCAGTTCTGATTTTCATGCACCTTCAAACAGGAAGGACAGAACCAATTTATTTTTCCATCTTCAGTAACAATGTAAACCAGGTGCAGTTTAGATTTGGAGATTTCTGTGGATTGTTGACATGCATAAAATCTTTTTGACCCATCTGGGTGCCTGATTTGTTCATTATCGTACAGTAGCAGAGTTTGGTTGGATAACAACAGACCAACATAGTCACTCAGGCTCAGCACATTTGGATTTGGCCAGTCTTAACATTAGCACCTTTAAGAAAGCATTCCTTAGTGATACCATAAGCCCTATTCGCACGGAATTAGTATTATCTGGGGACCTTGTGTGATTTTGAAATTACCCCCCCACATCTGAATTTCGTGTGGTGTATTCGCACGGGATAAGCGAAGCCTGTGATTTCACTCGAATTTACTGACTTATCTCCCAGATACCCGGATGTCAAGGCTTTGAGAGTCCCGTTCTATGGTCCAGATGGATTTAAAAAAAAAGAAACTAATACAGTTTCGTGCGCGGAGTCATTTACATTTCACCAGGTTAAAATAATATCTCAAGCTTTATGCTTGACTTATTTGTAACACATTAACCTCAAAACCTTTTCAGCTTTCTCTTTCTGCAAATTGTATGGTGTAGCGATATGATGACAGCACCCAAAATACTATCAAACACTCCAACGCAGCTCCATTCTTTGCGGAAGATGGATAAAAAGGCACACAGCAAACAAAAACCTCGAAAAATGATATACGACCCGCCAAATGCTGGCCAAATCACAGAGATGCCGATTCGCACGGGACTAATATCATCACAGGACCTTGGTGTTTGGCGAAATATGGTAGGTCATTTGCGGGGGAATTTTTAGTTTACAAATTACAGACATGGCCGATTCGCACGGGATTAAGATCACAGACAACCTCCACATTTAGTGGCATTCCTTATGTATGCACTCACTTTCATTGAGTCTAATATGCAGATAACCTAGTTGTAAGTGCGTACAGGGAACAAATATGACTAAATTTCACAACTATGTGATAGGCAATCCATGATCTGACCATTTTAAATTAATCAGTATTTAATGCACTTCTCATAGCCTCGTATTAAAGTACTTATGGCCTCACTCTACTTTGACCACACTGGCACTGTGAAGAGCTTAATCAGGGTCTCAAGAGACAACTGAGCTCCCAATCAAAATTAATATTAATGTGATTGTCAAACACACAATCATCCAGCAACAAGTATTTCTGAACCATTCATTATTTGACTCAATGACAATATAACATTACAGTGTCCTATACTCACTTGCATGCTGCATACAGAGCTGCTGTGGTAAAGAGAGGCTTAGACAGGTCAAGGTCGTGTTGCTGAGCAGCAGGCAAACTGGTCTCATACCTTAAACAAATACATAATGTAGGTTTAGATCAAGTCATTCGATTAATCTTGACTGCACTGATGCAATGTGAAGACTCACCGCTGAAGGATCCGAGAGGCCACTTTAACTGCTTCCAAACAGCCATACTGCACTGCAAGATCTCTGAGACCCAGGTTTGACTGCAGGCCCAGCATGCACTCCATAGCCTTAAAATTACTGGAGTACACCTTAGGACTCAGTCCTGATAGTTTGATGGCATACTCCTATCCAGCAGAAAGTTGAAAGAGTATTAATTTCTAAAAATGATTGCAAGAAAATACTCATATTACTACATATGCTAATGCGTACAACATCTTGTGTAAAGCGGTCAATGGTTATTGTGTGAAAATGATTTTGAACAATATTTAAACAGTAACAGCGTTCTCATCATCCACTTCATTTCCACCACATCAAACTATTTTGCCCCTAATATCTCTTTTTGCAAAAGTCAGTCTGTGGACAATTATTCTTTATATTAAATATGAGATATGTGATGCAGGAAGAAAACTGAATATTTATTTTCATTGCCAACCAGGCTGTAATTTTGTCTAAATGATGGCAAAAAGTGTTTACATATTATTGGTGTACATTTAGGATACATAAAGGGGTAGCTATAACATTAGCCTTGACAAAGCAAAGTAATAGGCTATTTATTTATAAAATACCAATTCATTTAAACGAAGAAAGCTATTTAATTCAATACATAATTTGAGATGAGCAAATGACAGTTTTCCTGTGATGCCACTATTGGACAGAGTTAGTAAATAAAGTGAATTGGCAAATAAATTAGCGACAAAGCAAAAAAAAAAAAAGAAAGAAAGCCTACTGGGCTTAACAGTAAAAGATAACTCGCACATATGCATATTTCCATTACATAATATAGTAACATATTCAAGTGCGTGTGACTCTGTACATGGTACTACACATCACATCACGCAGTGTGGGAACTGGATCTTGCCTTGTCTAGAGGAAATTTCATTGAAGTCGCTGCCAACTCGAGGCAAATAATGGCCTTGCTGGTGGCTGTAACAGAACCCAGTCCAACACACTTCACTTGGGATAATCGCATGTATTCCTCTGCTTGACTGAAAATAAGAGATCACAATTAACGTTAGTTGTGTTGTTATATTGACATGTTCACTTTAGATTGAACCAAACAAGCGGCTTGTCTCTCTACACTGTCACACTTCACTTACCTCAATACTTTAACAGCTGTTATCCCGATCTTCGAAGCAAGCTTACGAAATAACTCTTTATCCATTTGTAATGTAGTTCGGATCTTCTCTTTAACCTCAACACAACAGAGTCCTCTCAGTAAGCACACCTTGCACAGACAAACTGCTTTCGCGCGAAAACGAACACGTGTCCCACCCGAGATAAACGTCTGGATCTGCCATTGGTGGATCAAGAAATGGGCGTGGACAACCTCGTTCGAGAAAAATACGTATAAACATTAAGTATTCGTCAAATGGTACTATATATGGCCAAGCGGAGTGCATGATATTAAATGCTAAATGTTGGTCAGAGAAACCCAGCCGAATATTTTATTGTAAACAAATCAATTTTAATTCTAAATGTTGTCTCTACAGCGTTTTAGAGCGGAATAATCCAGCTCTCGGGGCTTGTTGTGTTGTGTGCGGGCAGAGCTCGTCATGAGGCGGAACAGCGGCAGTCACGTGACACGACCATACATTCACAGCGGGCTCATCCAGTGTTTCCTCGAACATACCTAATAATCATGGTAAGATATAAGCCATCATCGTATGCGTAGACTGTGTGCTGGATGCTTTGTATGCGCCGTTAAGTTGCTTAAAACAGTGATAGTGTCAGAGGGACACTGAGATCTCTTGACGGACTGTTGCGCGTTTGTGAAGATAGTCGTTAGCATTAGCGTTTGGGATGCGGAGGCCTACATACACTTAATCATTCTTGTTTATTTCCTCTGTCTTGTTTTATTCTACTAGCGGTGTGTCATTTGGCATGCAGGTTTAGTAGACTTGCAGCCGTTATGTTTTGCTGTCATTACAATCCACAAGTTTTGTGCAAAATGAGCTACTTTGAACTGCTAATCCTGCTAGCATTAGCGTTGTCATTTCTTTACAGTTCTGTTTATGTCAGAATTATTATTTATTGTTATTATATATCTGAGATACTTTTATATGCAGCTCTTTGTTTATAAGTGCATTATATATAGTTGAATAATGGAAATGATTTTAGTATGCGGTGTTTGGTCACGGGTTCATTCATTCAGGTTAAAGCAGACGGTAATCTGTTTAATTTACTGTTCATCATAACACGTTTGAAATTGCTATTCTTCACGTGAAGTGTAACTGTCTAGTACTGACACTAACGATGGGTCGTTTGGGAGGGGTGGACGTACATCTGTCACCCTCCACCCTGGCCTGCAGACCACTGAGACTTCATTTATATAGCTATATGATCAGTTATAATCTCGTGATTACAGGCATTTATTAGGCTCATTAACAGATTAATATAATGGCACTGTTTCAGTTCTTGAAGTTATACTTTCTGAACTTTTATTGAAAAAATATTTGGTAATGTCACATGACTTTCTAGCTGTAGTGCTATGCTACTCTTCATGCACTGTATTTCATTTTTAACAATATTTTTGTAATTCATTTACAGTTATGCACAGTGGTTTTGTGATATTTTCATATTTCTAAAATGTGCCTCAGGACAAATGAATTGAAATGTGCTAGGCTGAAATGTAATTAAAAATAGTGAGAAACATTTAAAAAAAATGGTGACCAGCTACAGCACTTGGAATTAAACTTTAGAGCAGTAATGTATATGTGCAAGGGAGACCTTTTTTTCAGCATTAAGCAAGGATGCATTAAATTGATCAAAATTGACAGTAAAGTCATTTTTAATGTTAAAGATTTCTGTCAAATAAATGCTGCTCTTTTGAACTTTCTATTCTTCAAAGAGATTTGAAAACAAATGTATGACATTTTCCACAAAAATACATAATTCATATTTGCAATGTTGATAATAAGAAATGTTTCTTGAGCACCAAATTAGCATATCAGAATGATTTATGAAGGATCATGTGACACAGAAGACTGGAGGGTCATTCTGGCTAAAACTTTTGACTTTGGTAATTTTTTTTTTCCTGAAGAAAGACAAACATAAATAGTGATAAAAGCCAAAATAACAAATGAATATTTACGGAGTAATCCACTATTTTGTTGAGGTCGGTCAAAATGATAAATCAGTTCAAAAAGTTTTTAATTTATATAGCACAGTAAAAACAACAGTAGTTGACCATTGTGCTGTACTAAAAGACAAAGGATAAATATCTAAAAAGGAGACAAAAGATAATAAAAAGACTGCAAAACAATGATGAAGTGAGTTTAGATCAAAAACACCAATCAGAAAATTCAACCAAAAATCAAGAACAGTTATGCCTGAGAGAAAAGTTAGGTTAGATTTAACTTGGCCTAACTTGGGTTTAAATTCAGACTCTGTCTAGATCTCGGAACCATCAGCAATCTTTGTGGAGACTACCTTAATGATCTAGTTATTTAAAGGTGCAGTAGGAGATCTTGGAAAATGTTAACTTTAGCCTGATAGCACTGAAAGCGAACGTCCCACCTAGGCCTGTCGCGATAATTAAATAACCGTCTAATTGAGATTATTTGATCTAACCGCGGTTGTTTCAGACAACCGCGATTATTGTGCTTTTTATACGAGACAAGGGGGAGTCATACACCAAAAGAAACAGAAGAGCACCAGTTTGCTTTTCATGCACTGTATAGCCTATACGGGGCTCCAGACTCATTCTTCCCACTGGTCACTCTTTTGCAACTAACTTTCTCAGCTGGTCGCACGAGCACATGATTTGCTCGCAATATTTTGCTTAATATTTTTTTTGGCGCTACATAGACTTGTGCCGGTATTCGGTAATGCGATATATCACGGTAATGAATATGCACGATATTGTTATCGCGGGCACTTCTAAATACCGTGAATAATTATATATTACAAATTATTCAGAATAGTGAATGCATTTTAAGAATACTTTTCCCATCAACTGGTCAAAATGCACAACACCGCTGTATGCTGCCTGAAAGATGCGTGCGCACTCTGATGTAAACAAGCGCGGACGAGAAGCACATGGCGGAACATGTGAGAGACGCTCTGGATGAAACCGCACTTTCACTCTCTGACAGCAGATGGCGCTAAACTGCAGAAATAATAATAATAATAATAATAATAATAATAATT